AACATTTTTTGTAGAAACGAAATCGCCATAAGTGCACAAATACCTCGTAACCACGTAAACTTACGGTGTTTTGTATAGAAAACCAATTTATTTACAAGGTTTACGCCATTGCGGAGCGTTTACGCGTTTAAAAGAAAACCCATATTTGGAATGTACCAGCATTATAATCAAACAATGTCATAAATTATGCAGAGGACTTCATTTCGTAAGATTTTTTGCTGCTGCAGTATGCGAAGACCGTCAGAAGTATACCAACAACGTGTCCGAATCACTTACGAACTACTTTGCTCGGACAGCACATATGTATGAACCCGGGTAGATATATAAAGCTTTTAACTTGTGCGCGGTCAGAGCAGTCTTGCTCGGTAAGCACCCGCTTAGACCAGTGAATGGAGGTGGACGTAGTCTACGAGCGTGTTGCTCATTCTCACCCAATTGGACCAAGGTCAGCTTAGCTAGTCGGGCGCACTGGTGCCAGAATCTCTTTGTACCGCAACCCCATATCGAGCCGCAGTTAATCCCAAAATATCCCCTTTTTTTCTAAGTCCCCATTTAAAATGGCTTTAGTAAGAAATACAAGAATATGTATTCGCATTTGTGTTAGATCATTTTAATTACACTTTGGAATATACTTGTGCAGCAAATTTTCACAGATTTATATACATGAAGAAAGTAACATATGTGTACATATATGAGAAAATCTCACGAGTTTTTTAGTATCTATCACTTTCTTCTTTCCCCAGAAAAATAACGCTAAAGCATTCTTCTTGCATATATTGCAATCACTATAGTTCCGGAAACGAGTACAATAAAAAATAAATAAAGTATTTGAACAATTTTAGCCTTAAACGGTTTATTTAGGCGAAAACGTACCGAAATTACTCACTTTTTCATTGTAACTCGAAAAAATCATTATAGTTTTTTTTTAATAACTTTTAGAAGTGGTCAAATAGAATGTTCATATTAGAGCCAATGGACGTTGGCGTCAAATAAAACAGATCTGTGAAGTTTCAAGAGTGTGCAACCAAATTAAAATAAACAGCTTGCAGAATATCTGTCCCAGCTACCTTTTAGTTTTTGAAATTTTACAATTGTTTTAATTGTAATAATTTTAGATACTTGAAAATGTTAAAGTTAAACGGTGAAAATGTTCTTCTTGACAAAATGAAGGAATCTAGTGCAATAAAACTAGTGTATCACCAATTGAAAAAAAATTATATTGAGTAAAAGAAGATTTTGATTTGAGAAACTAAAACTCCATTTTTACAATATTTATTGGTACACTCAAAATTCATTCTAAAATTGTTGTTAAAAATCTCCCACGCTAACATTTAAATACTTTTAAATAATATGACTTTTAAGTTAAGGCGTGCGAGTAAACGTGTTAGATGAATAAGTATTATGCTACGGGGCGTATACGTTACATACGCAACTACGGGTATACATACATATGAGCATGATTGGTTAGTTTTACTTTTTTAGTATATCTTTTTTAAGTATTCATTTAAATACAATTTCGCGATAGAATCTTGTTCTTTATACAAAACTGAAAATAATGCACTTTCTAAGATAAGTGTGCCTCCATTTTCGACCAAAAACACGTTCAGCCACTGCGAAAAGAATTCCGACGGAATTTCACTAGTATCATTTCGAACTTTTTCATGTTTCCACCCATTTCACGTTTAATACATATTCCGAATGAAGCAAAGCATATGGAGTAGATAGATGCAGTAGAGCACTCTTTGACTTTTTTCGTGACAGCAAAAAATTATCCACCACTAAAAAATTTAGAGAGTAAGGCACGGTGCAGGAAGGAAGCGATGAAAACTGTGTACACTTGCACGCCAGCGACACCGCTGCGATATAACATCGCATGCGTATCGCACGTGCGACACCGCTGCGATATAATATTGCATGCGTATCGCACGTGCGACACGGGTTTCTGGACGAGATGAGATTAGTATTCCGCGGTATTTTTTGCAATAAGCATGACCATTTCACAGGCGGAAGCATCTTCCTCAATTTTTTTTAGTCGAATTTATAAAAGACTCATGTTTATGAAACTATACAAAAAAAAGTTTGGCATGGAGAAATAAAGCCTCTGACGTCAAGGACACAGGTAAATGCACAAAATAATATTTTTTGTCATGGTTTATTTGCCTTTGTTTTCACATCTTTAAAAAGAAATTAAAAGAAACCAATCATTTTAAACCCATTTATTTTTGATTTTGAATAGCAAAAAAGATTTGGTGTTTGTTTTGTATGGCAAAATCAACTTTTTTTCTGGGCAAACCAATTTTTTTAAGAGATTGAGTCATAGGTAAAAAAGTGATTTCTTCAATAGGGGCACTCCGAAAGGTGGTGTTCTCTCTCCCCTGCTCTGGATTGCGGTTGTCAGCGACCTTTTAGAGGAACTGGAAAAAGTGAGCTGTCGGGTGATCGCCTATGTAGATAATGTGGAACTTTTGGTTAAGGGACGACTTCTAGACACCCTTTTTGACCTGACTCAAGGTTACCTGAATCAGATAACTAGGTGGGCGATCAACCGCGGTCTCGCAGTAAAACCCAGCAAGAAGGAAGTGGTTTAGTTTACCAGGAAGTACAAGGTACTCGTTATGGTCCTTCCCTCGAGTGGAGGTGTTCGTCTTCGGCTCTTAGACAGGGTCAAGTACTTTGGCTTGATCCTGGATATGAAGTTGTCGTGAAGTCTAACATTGAGGAAAGGGTAAGAAAGCCGTCGGTTGCCTAGTACTGCTGTAGGTAGCTGTCGGTAAAAGGTGAGATCTCTCGCTCAAAGTAATTTATTAGCTGCATGAAGCCAGATTTAAGCCTATCTTGTTTCACGGAGCCCTTGTCTGGTGGAACTAACTACAGAAGGCTACACTTTTAAACTAACTTGAGCGTTTATAGCGGATCGCCCTGATTGGAATTAGTGGAGAATAAGGAACACACAACAAACAGCTACACTGGCGCTTAACGTCAGACAGAATTTTCGTAGCCCGAACTGCTATTAGACTCAGAGAAACCGGGTGGTAACACTTAGGAGTTGTCGAGGGCTTTGACTTCGCCCTGAACGCATAGATTACAGCTCCTCAGAAATGGCTCCCAGAAGCTGCTCCTATACCTATATTCCCTCAAGAGAAGGGCGGGTTGCTTAAAGCAGGAAGCGGATCACAACTTGGAGAAGAATTTTCTGCTTTCGGAAACTCTCCACCAAAACTATGCTCAGGTTCTCAACTTCTGTAGTGTCTTTTAGGTGGAAATAGCTGCCATCAAGGAAGCGGTAGACTCACTGGTAAAGGGTGCAATTTTGCACTCAAAATCGGTAAAGGTATGTCTGACCTCTATATCAATGACGTCAGAGTACTTCTTAGTAAGGCGTGGCTGATGACCTGGCGTTGTAAAGGCACGTTATTCTCAGATGAAGAGCAACTAGGACGCTTCTGTCGTCCTGCAGTACACTGTTGGATGGTTGGGCCTAGTGCTAGCTCGGCGAGCGCTAGACTAACACGCATACTTCGTACTCGAGATAATGAAATTGAATACTCAACTAAATACCACATAAAATGGACAAACAAAGCGATGCTCCTTTGGTGACATAAACAAGGAAAATAAGACGTTTCTCTGCTGCAGCAAATTTTTTATATGGGGTTTTAAAATACTTATTGCAGCTTATGACGCGAGTGACCCATCGTTACTCCTTAAAGGTGCCGAAAAATACGTTACCTCTCAAGGGCTAGTGATGGGGGTTCTGATAGTGATTAGTATTTCCGCGGTAAGACTAGGAATTCAAACTTATCCCTTTTGTATCTGCCGTTAAGAGGAAGATGAGGTGGAATCATCTCTACACTTCCTTTTAGACTGTCCAACCTTCGCGAGGCTAAGATGGAAAAATTTTAGCTCGCACTTAACTAAACCTGAGCTCTTTGGTCGCTTTCGAAATTTTGTAGCCGGTAACGGTGTTTCGCCAACTAAATGAGGGGTCTCCTTTCAGGTTTTTCGTGGTATCACAAAGGAAAATCTCCTAATTGGACACACCGTTGCCTGGCGCAAGCACTTTAACTTAACCTAACCTAACCTGTACCTTTTTCAGCTATGAAATATGTAGTTGGTCACATTAATCACACACAGTAGTGAAAGTCATCTAGATCGGTACTTTATAAGGCATATTTTATATACCACTGATTGTTCAGATATAGGTTTTTTATATAACTCCTCTATTTATGTATGCATTGAAGGTAAACATTTTTTTAGCTCCTAAACAACTAATTTAGAGTGCAGTAATCGGTTGAAGAAAAATTTGTTGATGTTCATGAAAGGCGTGAAACCTTCGGCATTGCTGAAGACAGTACTGCGCTTTTTTCATTCCGCCTTAAAACAAAAAAAATCTAAAATGAAAATAAGGAAACATCAAATGTGCGTACTTCAAACTGGCTGACACTTCTTGTTACACGTTTGTATATTTAGCACATATATACAAGTCGAAATCATGTATGTGTTACTAGATAAGCTGATTTTGTGTATGTGTTTAGCTCCACGGCTTTGAATGTCAAACTGAAAAATTTTGTTTGCATTTCCACACACACTCCTACAGATTTTGACAGTTTACACCGCCAAAGCAAAAACAAAAAACAAGTAAATTTTTATTTTTGTACTCCTACTATCACATTATACTAATTCGCCTTGCATTCATACATAATTACATATCATTGCCTTAATATAAAGGCCCTACCTTACATCTTCTCTGAAATACAAAAAGCCGTAACTAACTAAAAATCCAAAATTCACTTTCTGATTGATTACGATGCATTTCATCAAATTATATGTCCCCACATCGTTTTATAATTTTAGTTAGTTACGGCTGTTTTACATTTCAGCGACAATGTGAGATACGACCTTTCTACGTTAAGGTAACGGTATGTACATAAGTACCTACATATAAAATATCGAGCGCGCAGGTTATTGGATGTACGAATATTGATAAGGAACTGTTTACTCACATCGATTTCACCGCCCCCGATGGATGTATTCCGGAATGGTGGATTGCGTCCGTTTATGAATTCAAAAAATTTACCCTTGTCAACTTTGAGCCACGTCACCTGCAAGTGATACAAACATTTCCAAAATTTTATAAAAAGTTAACACAAATGTCATTGCCTCAATAAAAATATTAAAAATAAAAAGTCATTGCCTGACGTTGATTTGAGGTTTTTGCTATATGATTTGGAAAATAGTGAGATGTGGAGTAAATGTGTATGTATGTATGTTCATATGTGAGTAGACGCATATGCACATAAAACAGAATTATATTTAACATACACATATCGTTACAAGAAACGACTAAAGGCGCGCCATTGTTTTGACGCGCGAAAAAGGCCGCATTGACGAAAGAAGACGCGTAAACCTAGTTGACGGCGAAGAAAGACGCGTAATCATAGATGTATACCTTGCCAAGGACTGTCACTTCAGTATTATTCCCCAAAAACTTTTTGGGGAATGTACATAATATTACTACCTCAAACATAGTTTACCGGGAAAATAAGTTAACGCCTTCGCCTCTTCGCCGTCGACTAGGTTTTCGCGGTCAACTTTTGAGCTCGCGCCTTTACTCGTCGTTCTAGTGACGATATGTATTTTCCAGTGTACCTTTTCGGCCCTTTTACGAGGTTTTATTATGTTTCACCTATGTGTAATCCAATCTTTCAATAAATTTTCAACCAGCTTCCCGATGAGCTAGAGACTTGGAACTTCAAACTTAACTCAGACCCCGATGAAAATGCAATATGATAGATCATTTAGTCCGCTTAGGGGACGCAGGTGTCGAGATATTTAAAAAACTCGCATTTATGCATATTACCTATGTATATAAAAGGGAATAACAACACAAAAATATTTTGCCCGGTAGGTCTAGATATTTGGAAAACCCGTTTTAAACATCCGATTCATATTTAGAACGTATTACTTGAATGGAAAGGAATAACTCCACAAAAAAATCTGCCGTTAGATGGGGCGGGGTCAATTTTTCTTTTTTGTTACTAAACACAAATAAAAGCTTGTCTTAAAAAATAAATAAAAATGTTTGTATAAATTACTTGCTTTTATTTAAATATACATTAAGTACATAATCTTCAGTTTTAAAGAATGTCAAGGTTGTAAAATTTATTTTTTCTTATAACAAAAGCACAAAATAATTTCAGAAGCCGTACCAACTTGTTAGAAGTGGTAAGTATATCGTCACCTGAAATGAAAAATAACGTATCGTGACAATTGTTATTTTTTTCATAAAACGATGTGGGGAGTTGTAATTTGAGGAAATCTATCATAGCAATCAAAAAGTGAATTTTGTATTTTTTATAAGTTACGACTTTTTGCATTTCAGTGACGATGATGATACGTTATTTTTGCATTTCAGGTGACGATATGTACTTATGCAAATTTTTGGCTTTTAGTTAGTAACGTTATTTAAATTTAGATATATCGATGGTCCTGTGCTATAACGACACAATTCAAAGTTCAAACAAGTTGATAAAAGCGTTGTAAAAACAAAAACTGTTACTAATGTTAAGTGGCTCTTGTCTCTAATCCTTGTCTAATCCATTTCCATCCCTTACTAAAGTAAGCAGTATGGATTGCTAAAGTAAGTACAAAATACATATTAGACATGGGTTCGACAAGGATTAAAGACATGAGCCACTTAACAGTAGTAACAGTTCTTATTTTTTGAATTGTGGCGTTATTGCACCATCGATATGTATGTAACTTTTAATGCGATAATCGTTTTTAAAAACTCCGGCTACGTCGTTTGCTGTAAGAAATAAATTTATGTAAGAAAATAAATTATTGGCAAACCTATATTATTTTGAATAAATTCTTGTTGGTTCTGAATTTCGCAACGGATTCAACGATTGACAAAGCCTCGCTGGTGAGCCTTATAATCAAAGTTATCTTTATTGTTCTCTCATCCCGGCGAGGGAATCCGCCTCTACAGACTTGCCGTTGGGAGTTTATGGCTTTGCATTTTCTTCCAAAGTGGATTTCTTATGATATTTTCTCAAAATGCACACCTCTTTAAAAACTATCGATCAAACCCAGATCAGACACCCTCCAATTCTGGATTTAGGGTCCTAGTATATTTGTCCATAACTTTAACAATTATTTATTGATCTCATAACGATATATTCCTTACCGCAAAGTAATTGGCGAGACTTCTACCGCAAACTCAAATAATATTGATATTTTTACTGATTTCTTTTTTTGTGCAATTCAATTTTAAAGTTGTTTTATTATATGTTAACAGTGTGATATTAAAATAATTTTAAAATGAAATAAACATCAACAGACAAATTTCGATTTTTTTTAAGTTTGCTGAAAAAAGTCCCGCTAATTTGTATCAAGTATTTACGATAAGTTACGTATGAGCGTATATAAATCCTCTTTTCAGCAACATACAAATTCAAGATCGATTCAGAAATGTTAAATTTATGGGGAAAAGAACCCCCACAATAATGGGTTTTTAACCCTAAATCCAGTCCCTGAGGGCATATTGTATTTTGGGATTTTGATTGTACAAATTTTTATTACTCAACTAGGTCCGCAATATGGGATGTGTGACATTCCAGGTTTTTTTAGTGGAAGTTAAGTCTAACAAATTGTGGTTGATTCCAACACTACATATACGTAGGTATTTAAATGTCTTTATTAGTCTATACAAGATTGAATCTTTTAAAATACATACACATATTACAAATGTAAGTGAAAAACAAACACATATTTCTTTGTTACATAGGTCAAAAAACGATGATCTTTCTCCGAAACTTTCTTATATCCGTAGTGGTTTGGGTGGGATTTGTTTTCTCCTGGAAAATAATAATTACTAAAATATATCCCAGAAATAGTTTAATAAATTTACCTTATTACAAAGTGTGATAATTTACCTTATCACATTGTGCGTGCTCCCGCCTAAAGCTATTGATTTCACAGCCGAATTACACCAATTCACTGATTCTAGTAGCACTTAGCAAATTAGCCTTGTTTTAGAAAATGGAAGGAAAATATTAAAGCGAATGTCGTATTAACGATTGACTAATTCACAATAGTAAAATGAAGTAGATTTTAATTTTACGGTGGTTGATGCAATTTAGCAAAAAAGTGGTAGATCTACCACAAAAGTGGTATAGTTCGCACACTGAGTGTTACACAGTGTTACCAGTCTCCAATTGATTGCGGTTGAGTAAAGTTATATTTTCGTGTTTCACGTTTTTTTGAATACAAAAGTATGTTCGACTATTTTCTTTTATATGGAGGACACCGCCAGCAAAAAAAAATTACTAAAAATTAACGAGATTTTATAGCAGCTTGAAACTTACACTACATTATACTAGAATTAAATTGCCTACAAAACTGCATACCAAAATTCTGATTAAAAAGTTTGAAATTTTGATGAAAATAAGCAGAAATTTTCTAATTTTTGTAGAAAATTTAAAATTTATATGGTGTTTGTTGTATACCGGCTAGCCGTTTATAAAAAAAATAATAAACATTAAATAAACAAAAGACAAAGGCCAAATGCCAAAACCGGTCAAAATATTGCATTTCTTTTATTTTGTGGACCACTATATGTGTGTTTATAATGCTAGGTATGTATTCTTATGCATTGAGTGCAAAAGATTGTATTTTAGTACAAAACGAAATGAAATTTTATGTTCCTAAATATTTCGTGCTTAGCACCATATAAAAAATTGTTTTAAATAATGTACATAAATGTGATATGCGTACATATATTTTTACACATGCATACGTATGTACATACATGAGTATGTAATGTTGCATAACAAGCCAATTAATTCAATTATTTGTTTTCTTTTGTTTTGTTAACTCCGTTAAATTAACTGATTTTATGAATTCATATATTTATTTGTAATTTTTTATGGAATCGGCATCGGTATCGGCCTTCCCCATAAGCCGATTAATCGGCATCGGTACCTGAAAAAAAAATGGTATCGGTCGGACTCTAGCTTTTTGCTAGAAGAAACAGTAACACTATATAAACCCTGTAGAGAAACGAACTAGTGCGGAACTGGTTCGGTTCTAGTGCGTTTGGAACCATGACTAGTACGCGTTAATTCTCTTTTGCATGCTAGCGACTGGCGAATTTAACATTGCGATGTCCTAGGAAGTGTCAATTGTCCCCCGTTGCATCCCTTTGGCTCTAGTTCCGAACCAGCTCTAAATTCGACAGATAAGATCTAGTTCGTTTTGCATCCCTTTTTCTATAGTTCCGAACCAGTTCCAAATTCGACAGATGAGATCTAGTTCGTTCTGCATCCCCTTTTCTTTAGTTCCAAACCAGTTCCTAATTCGACAGATGAGATCTAGTTCGATCTGCATCCATTTTTTATAGTTCCCAACCTATTATAAATTCGTCACCTTAGATCTACATACATTCCTAATCAGGCTTGTCGAAACGGGGCACCGAAATTGCGCATATGGAAACTGTGCATTTAGACATTATTTCGGTTTCAACCGAAACTGTGCATGTATGCTTTATTTCGGTTTTTGCCATATGCATTATTTCGGTTTTAAACCGAAACTGTGCATTTATGCACTTCTTCGTTTTTTTTTTCATATGCATTATTTCGGTTTTAAAACGAAAGTATGCATATGCATAATTTCGGTATTTTCTCATATGCATTATTTCGACTTTCAACCGAAACTGTGCATGTATGCATTACTTCAGGTTTTTCATATGCATTATTTCGGTTTTCAACCGAAACTGTGCATGCATGCATTATTTCGGTTTTTGTTATATGCATTATTTCGGGTTTCAACCGAAACTGTGCATGTATGCATACCTTCGTCTTTCACATATGCATTATTTCGGTTTTCATCCGAAACTGTGCATGTATGCTTTATTTCGTTTTTTGCCATATGCATTATTTCGGTTTTGAACCGAAATTGTGCATGCATGCATTATTTCGGTTTTGTAGGCTGAAAGCCGCCTACGCAGAGAAAAGTTCTGAGCAAAAATACTTCCGCTCTTCTTTTCCGGCAATACAGAAAGGAGAATTCTACTTAGTAAGGGTTATAGTCCCTAAGCGCG